CTACCTAATTGACCAAGTAAAAGATTATTTTCTCTGATTTGGTTTTGTTGTTCAGCAATTAAACTTTGTTTGCTTTTGACAATTGCTTCTTCAATTAATTTTTCATTAACCAAAGACTTTTCTTTTTCCTCTAATTGTTTTTGGAGGTCTCATTCTCTTTGGTAGAGTTCTTCGAAGTTGGTGAGAATATTTTCCACTGACCTAGTGAAGTTTTCATTTTCTAATTTATAGTATAGTTTATCATACTTTCTCCGAAGTTCAAGCACATTTGTTTCTTTTTGCTTCTTGGCTTGAAAATATGCCTTGTGGGCTTCAATTAATTCTTGTAGGATTTGCTCTTCGTTTTCGGTAAAGAGTAGGTAATCATTAACTATCTTGCCTTTTTGTTCTTTAATTAGTCTTTGGTTTTCAACTGTTAATTCTTCAAGAGTGACAATTCTTTTGGTTAATCTTTCTTTTTCGGCTTCTAAAAATTTAATTTGCTCTTGGAGTTTTGCTCGATTGAGTTTAGGAAGTTTGGCTTTTTTTCAATCTTTTAAACAATCAGCAAGTGATTTATTTCTGTCTGTTATTATCCCTCGGTATTTTTTTAGTTTTTTTTCTAGGATTTTTACTTTGGCATCTTTTCTTTCCTCAGTTAAACATCAAAAACTTACTAAACTATCAGGTAAATACTCTAAACCGGAATCAATATCAGTATCTCTAATACTTAATTCTTTTAATTTATTTAATCCCGCCAAAGGCTCCAAAGAACCAAAAAAGTTATTATTAGCTAAACCTAATTTTTCTAAATTAATAAACTTACTAAAAGGAGTTAAATCACTAGTAATTTTATTATTTCAAATTCAAAGTACAGTTAATTTTTCCTCATTTAAATTATTAAGAAAGTCTAAGTTAGTTAGTTGATTAAATCCACAAACAATTCTCTCTAAATTAGGACAATTATTTATATTTAAAGAAGTTAATTGGTTTCACCTACAATCTAATCAAGTAAGTTTAGGATTATTTAATTCTAATTTAGTTAGTTTGGATTTTAAATAATTTCCGTAAATTTCTATTCTTTCTAGATTAGGATAATTAGTTAAGTTTAAAGTTTGACCATCTAATTCTTTTTGTGGGTTAGAATAATCAACAATTATTTGTTTTACTTGTTCTTTTTCTTCTAGAGTAGGATATTGATTATCTAATCATTCTTGGAGGATGGTCATAGCTTCTTTTTAGGTTAAGTTATTAAATGCTGAATAATAAATTTCATATTTATGGTTACAAAAATTAGTTATAAAAGCGGAAATTAAAACACATATTGTAATAATTATTAAAAAAAGCAGTATGTTTTTAATCAGCCTCAACCAAGAATCATTTAAAAGCAAAGTCTAATTCTTACTTTATGGTTTTTTGTTGTTAATTATCCCATTTATTCTTCGGGGGAAATTTCTATCTCCCGTGCGGCCAAAAAATACCTTAATTTTCAGGTTTTTTTCTTGGGCGAATAAGTTTGCTATTCTTTCCACTTCTAATTCTATAATTTCTAGGTTCATAATTGTTAATATTATTTTTACGCGGGCTCGTCGGCACGGAAGGCAACGGGGGAAGGATTTGTTGACGCTGAAGTCAGGATTTATCCTTACCCCGTTGGGTAAGTGATATCTCACAGACAG